GCCGAATTACCCGCGCCTTACTGCGTATCAAAAATGTTTTGTAAGAAAATGATGATTGATTTTAAATCATTGTTATAATTTTTGGAGAAAAATGATGCATTTCAATATTACTCAATGATCTTGCCGATGTGACCTCCATCTTCTGGATTTCTCCTTCTATATTTTAGATAGGAGTCATTCCCTTGTTCAAATTTAAATTTAATTTAAATCAAAGGGAAAAAAAATTCAGTGGTGTGTGTGTGTGTGTGTGTGGGCAAAAACAGCTTCATCTGACGCCTTTGATATGTATTTGATGCAATACTTGACTGAATGAATTGATGAGCAGATTTCAACATTGATATGACAGTTGAATTGTCGCAACAAATATGTATTGTAAGACACTAATCACGGATTAGCGATTTCTTGCTTGTCTCACTTTGATCTTGCCGATGTAATCTCCATCTTTCTTTTGGAAAAGATTTCCCTTGTTCAAAATTTAATTTGATTTAAAATCAAAACCCGGACCCCCCTTTGATCAAAATGAAATATACTTATCCAAGTACCCTAAGAGTTATTCCCTTGTTCAAATTTAAATTTAATTTAAATCAATGAGAAATGTTCAGTAAGTGCGGGGTGCCTCAGGAACCCAATTCGGATCAAAATGATCTTGCAGATGTGAAACAAGAAAATTATATTAATTATCTATTACAAAAAATTTAAAACAGCTAACCTTATCCTAAAAAATAACAAGACACCTGCAAATTCAAAACTACGTAGAACCAACATTATTTACGATTTCATAACAAACATTTTTTTCCCCTTCAGATGAGAGGATCGTCGATATTTCGCTGATGAAAGAAGAACTTGCTAATGAGATCAACAATATGCAGATAGAAATTGAAAATTTGAAGGTGAATTTTAATAATTGAATATTTTTATGGACGAAACTAACAGTTGGCATACACACACACACACACACACACACACACACAGAGACAAGAGCATAAACGACACATAGACTCAAGTATATACGTGTCTAATGTTTATCTATAGATTCAAGTATATACGCGATAAATGTTTACTAATAAACACGACCTAATGTTTACGTAAAATATCGAACAATTTTTAACTATAGACACAACAATAAACCTGAACTATATTTACCTATAGACTAAAGTTTAAACAACTAATGTTTACCTATAGATTCAAGTATAAACAGTTAATGTTTACCTACTGACGCAAGTATAAACAACTAATATTTTACCTATAGACCCAAGTATAAACAACTAATGTTTATCTACTAAACACAATTACAAACAATTAATGTTTACCTATAGACTCAAATATAAATAAACTAATGTTTACCTATAGACTCAAGTATAAACATCTAATCTTTACGTATAGACTCAAGTATAAACAACTAATGTTTACCTATAGTCGCAAGTATAAATAACTAATGTAAACCTATAGACTCAAATATAAACAACTAATATTTACCTATAGACTAAAGTATAAACAGCTAATGTTTACCAATTGACGCAAGTATGAACATAAGTGATGTTTACAAACTCAAATATAACAACGACTAGTGTTTGTCTATAGACTCAAGTATAATTCCCCAAAATGTTTACGTACAGACTCAAGTATAAACATGTCCAATATACAGCTCTATATTTTTACATTAAATAACGCAGCAAATGTTGATATATTTGAAAATTCCCTCACTTACCAACAAATGGATTTTTTTAGTGCAATTCATCTGGATTTAATCATTTCTACTTCTATTTCATTCTTGTTTGATCAGGAGTACAAGAACACGATGGAACGTGCCCTGGAAGACTCGGGCCGGCCGCTCAACATCGCCCAAGAATGTCTGATGCAGAGAGAGAAACGTTATGGCATCGACATGGTTCATGATGATGTCGAAAGGAATTTGATTAAGGTATGCACCAAGTTTCTATGGCAACGCTTTAGAACAGGGGAGAAAAGCAGAGTGTATATTCTCGCAGACACATGCTTACACGCAAACTTGCTCAAGCAATGTATATAAGTATACATGAATGTACATATACACTCACTGGAGAGTAAATAAGCAGAACTCAAGTCAAATTTGACATAGAATATAATAAGAGGGTAGGTCAAAAAGTAATGCAATTTGTTTAACCATATAAGAAATAAAGAACAACCGGGTAATTTGCTTTTTAAGCACCGTGCTAAGTATCTAATAAAAATTTCTAAAATTGTTGTATTTAGGTGTAAATTTGCATTCTTAATTCATGCTTAAGAAATTTTGATAAAATCTACCGTTTTGGAGTTATCTCTATCTATAAAAGGCAGGATGTGTGTGTGTGTGTGTGTGTGTGTGTGTGTGTGACGAATGCACGGCCGCAATTTTCGACGGATTTGCACCAAAATTTACATGCACATGCTCCAAGTTAGCGGGAAGGCCAATACCGACGTTGCATTTCCCAACTCCCATCGATAGTGGAAATAATCGATTTTTTCATGCTTCTACGGCAGTTTTCATGTAGTTTGCGGCCATTTTCTACTAGCCAGAGTGAGAGCCTATAGCTGGCTGCCACGAATAGGCAGGAAGATTCTATTGGCCAGCGTGAGAGCCAACAGCTGACTGACACGAATGTTAACTAGCATGCTAGCATGCAAAAAAATCGCTAGCTGCATTCGTCACAAGTGGGAAAAATTTAAATCTGCATGGCACTTTACTCCAATTGGCTCATTTGCTTGCTTAAACTCAACGTTGATTCTGATTCCGCAGAACTGGGTTGGGTGCGAAAAATATTTGTTTTTAACATTCTTTTTTTCATTCGGTTTTTCCAGTCACGAGTCCTTTTTTTAAAGCTGATCGTTTTGTGTTCATTTTGTTTAGTTCTTTTTTCGTAACAGATTTAATGTTTAGTATAGAGCTTAGAAAAAATTCGCAGTGTGAGATAGGCAAAAAGTAAGGCATGTAGCAACATCAGCACGGCAAAGGGCACTCCTTTAAAGGCAAAGAAGGGCAAAAATATTTTAAGTCAAGTGATAGTGATTCCTGTATGAGTCGTATGATTTTTGAATCAAGCACGGGCAATGCCGGGGCATGCTGCTAGTTGACAATAAAATTTCGGACTCTGTCGCGTTCATCTGTCCGCCATTACAGGCTTTGTTTAACTACGTTCACTGCGGAACATTTTGCGTACAGAAGCTTAATAAATGCAATGACAACTTTTTTTTTTATAGTAAAGTTTTCTTTTTAAATTAAAAACAACAAATAATAAAATAAAGCTTTCTTTTAAATTAAAAATAAAACAAATAATAATTAATGCACAAACTTTGCACAAACTTTGTAAAGAGCATGATTATTTACAAAATAAAAAAAATGCTAGAATTTTTTATTAGATACTTAGCGCGGGCCTTAAAAAGCAAATTACCCGAACAACTAAACATACCGTGCATCAAGCTAGACATCATAGGTTCACATCCCTACTTTTCAACATAGAACACTGCCATTGAATGAAGTGATGACTATCTACAAATGAGGGCATGTATTTCAGCTTTGTAAAACTTAGTTGACTTTCTGATGTAGCCAATTTATTACAGCAGTTTTCAATTTTTCATCACCATCATCTTTGCCTTTCAGTGCAACTTTCATTGGACCAAAGACATGGAAGTCTGAGGGTGCTAAGGGATGTGAACGAATGGCCTACTGTGATCAAAGTACATATATACATGCATTTATATAGAAGTTTGTTTAAAGAACGACAAACACTCTTTGTTCAAGACTTTATTTATTGTATATTTTGTAACTTTATCCTGGTTTTCGGTACATATTTAAATATAAGCTGTCCAAAGCTGGTATATTTTCGTTTTTCAGATAACATTTTCAATGTGTTTTGTTTTCTGGGCTATGTCGGCTTCATCATTTTCTTGACACATCTTGTCTTCGCGTGGCAGTTTATGTTATGTCGTTTTTTATTTATGAAATATATTTTGTATGTTTGTTCGTAACGTTGATAACATATATATATATATATATATATATATATATAATATTGTTTAAAAATATGTATTCATCGTGACACAGAAAATTACCATGTTTCGGAACCTTAAATTAAACTTAAAATTAAAGATTTTGTTCCCCCACTCAAAAAAAAAAAAAAAAAAAAAAAATAAAAAAAGAAAAGTTATTCAACATCGCTTGAGAATGAAACGAAACATGGTAATTTTGATGAATACATATTTTTAAATAATGATATTATATTATGCTGTGAATTATAAATATGACTGTTCTTATATATATATATATAAAAAAAGGCTTAGTGTTTAAGCCTTTTTATTATATCCTTACTCTGTCCTGGACATTGAGTTCTACCTGGATTCTATCCTCTTGGAATTTTTTTTTTATAAAAATATATATGTATGTATGTATGTATGTATGTATGTATGTATGTATGTGTATATATTTATATATTTTTTATATGTATGTGTATATTTACCACTAATATTATATATATATATATATATATATATATATATATATATATATATATATATTATTCAAACATTATTTTTTAGTGGACACACACATAATTACGTATCACAGACTGCCATAAATTCGACCCTTATTGTAATATAACTTAATTATAATATACAGGAAAATATCAAACTCCCGCATGGGTGTTTCACTAAACACTTCAATCTGAATCTCTTCAAGTCAAGGATCAATCCTCATCTTTCCTCTCAACCCTCATCATCTTCACTTCTTACTACCACATTCATCATTATTATTTTGACTATAACTCCCTATCTTGATTGCCTTGTTTTTTTTTATGGTTTATCAAGCGTTTGCAGGTTATTTTTTTACGTTTTATCAACCTTTCAAGATTTTTTTTCCTACTAATTGACCCATAGCTGTGGAGGAGAAGAGGTGGATTTATACATTCTCAAAGGATATTTGCGCCTAAGTCAATATAACGAACTCACCTGGAATTGAAACGTAGCTCGTTATCCACCGCACCGCCAAGCTTACAACCCCTGGTATTCCCAAACGGTTACCTATCTAAGTACTGACCAGGCTTGACGTTGCTTAACTTCAGTGATCTTACGAAAACAGGGGTTTCAACGTGATATGGCTGTAAGCTCTCTCTACCTTGAGTGACTCTAGAGTTTTTTAAAGAATGAAATTAAGTATTAAAATATCATCCTAAGTTGATATACGAGGGGAAATACTGAAAGTTCATAGAGTAGACCTAAAACTAGTATATTTAATATATTATTTTAATTAATAGTTATCAATTATTATTATTATTTACATTTTCTGACATTTTACTGGTCCCTCCGAACGCTCTTAAACCGACACTCGACTGACCTTGAAACACAAGTGCCACTCAAAATGTTTTTAAGGGTCTGGGTATCAGATATTTTGAGCTTCATAAAAATTCGATTCAAGCATGTCACCCGAAACATCGCAGTGTCGTTCCAAAACAACGCTACAAAACATCGCTTAATAATTAAATGTTAGTGTATAATACAGAACTTCTTGGTAGTGATTTTCTAAGCCCGGCTTAGATGTGGCACAAGGCCGAAAGTATGGGGCACCCAGTGAGGATCGAACTCACTACTCAGTCGTAATTGATCTAGCAAGACAAGTAACCATTACACCACGTCGAGGTGCCCCAGAACTTATTGGTAGACTGACTCAGTTGGCTGTGTACAAATGAGCGTTAGTTGTGGGTTATTTTAGTTGAATGACATAATCACAGCATTGTACAGGTTGGGAACTTCGATACAACCTCGTATTCTATTCACTGTTTCCCTTTTTATTTTGTTCTAGCGTTTATATTCTGAGAAAAACTTAGAAGAGATTGATTATTTGTGTCTACGGTGTTAACATAATTTTAAAGGCCTAATATATATTGATATTTCAATAGAATTTTCGGTCTCGAATTGGCATCACGGCTTCATTCCCTTTCCCAACGCCATAACATAGCTCCCACGTGACTTTTGTATAAATACTTTCATGACAATTATCCTCCCAAAGACAAATTGTACATATGGGAACTAGTTAGGACTTTGAGGTATTATGGTGGCTGTAGTATGAATGGTAAGTAAGAATGTGTTTGGGCGAAAGGAATACTGTTGTATATTTGGGTCAGCAATTGTGGCTAGCTACGTTTAAGAAGATTAGCCTTTCCCCATCTTCTCTTTTGGCCTTGTGTCATATTTTTGTATTTTCAAAATAAAAATTGATTTCCTCTTTGGTACCGAGACATTACAAATTTAAGCGCAGTACTAGATTGGCGGTAAGGTCTCATCATTTTACAGTTGAAATGGCTAGAGGGTCTGTACTAACAATTCCGTCTCTCGCAGTTATCGCTCGTAGAACTCTATTCCGGCTTCTTGCGTTCCAGTCAACTATGATCTCTAAAACGTTTAATGCAATGCCAATTGTTTTCTGTTTACTTGAATCTTGTTCTTTAGTTGTTTTCTCTTCTCAATAATGTTTTTTTTTTCAGAATCTTTCACTCTTTGTAACCCCTTATGTCTTAGTGGCTTTATTATTTTTCTTTGGTTGAAATTGTTAAAAAGTGGTTGTATATATATATGTAGCGGTTGCCCACGAGCGGCCCCAGTATCACACAAGGGTGAACGAGGTCACAAGAGGCCCGCTAACATTTTTGAAGACGTTAAAAGAATATGAACGACAGAACGAGGATATATATGATATATGCTAATTTATTCAGGGAAAGAAAAAGACATAAATGTGGTCGGAACGGAAGTTCTAGTGCAGGCATTGATGGTCGAGGTTGGTGTTGGTAGTTGCCAGGATGATCGCTGTTGGTTGTTGCCAGGATGATCGCTGTTGGTTGTTGCAGTTGATGTTGGTTGTTGGCAAGATCATCACTGTTGGTTGTTGGAGTTGATGTTGGTTGTTGGCAAGATCATCACTGTTGGCTGTTGGAGTTGATGTTGGTTGTTGCCAGGATGATCACTGTTGGTTGTTGGAGTTGATTGTTGGCCGGGATGATCGCTGTTGGTTCTTGAAGTTGAAGCTGATGTGGGTTGTTGCCAGGATCATCACAGTGGATTGTTGCAGTTGATGTTGGTTGTTGGCAGGATCATCGCTGTTTTTTGTGGTTGTTGGTCGTTGCCGGGATGCCACTTGTTGGTTGTTGGCCGGGTTGCCAACTTGACGTGTTGGGAAAGAAAGAAGAGCTGGCGTTGTTTGGGCATGTCACAGGTCAAGAGCAGGCGTTGCGTGTTTACCGGTCGAGTCCGATATTAGTAACCTCCCGTATTAATTACTAACATAGAGTACGGGAAAGGTTAAGGACGACGTGCGGGCAGCCAGTAGGGACAGGATGCCGAGAGTCAAACAGGAGCCAGGAATAGTAGGCGAAGGAGAGAGAGAAAGTTTCCAACTGTCGTCAAGTTGGCAGACAAAAAAAAAAAAAAAAAAAAAAAAAATGTGAGCGTAACTCATTACACAGCCCGCTGATCGACGTCCCTGGGCCTGCGTATCCGACCATTTACAGTCGCCGACCGGCTCTCGAATCTAGCGAGAAATCACTGTCTTGTGACAAGGGAGACCAGCAAGTTAAATTGGATAAGCTAACAGTAAAGTGTCTATAATATAATACGACGAGGTTAGCTAAAGAGAACTATGGCCTAAAAATGTCTAGCAGTATATTACAACTAGGTTTGTAATATAACTTAACTAAAAAGGGGACTTGCTAGTCTCTCCCACAGGTTAACAGTGTATAGGGGGCACAAACGAGAGGTCAAGGTCGAAATGACATGTTCCTCTTAGTTTAAGGAGCGAAAGGAGGAGGTAACTCCGACATATATATATATTCTAATTTTATTTTGCTATTTATCTTTTATAATTTTATTTTTCTATTATAGATTATATATTTTTATGATTATTATATTTTAAAAAAATAATTTTATGATTTTATTTTGTTATCTTATTTTTTCCTCTTTGATGACAGGAAGTTGACGTCATCAAAAAATGCCAGGAAAAGATACGACGCATTTTGTATACAGCCAACGCACAAATAAAGTGAGTCGATCAATTTTATTCATCGCTTCGTTTATTGTTTATTTGATCCTTTGTTTATTATTTATATTTATTGTTTTATTATCTGTTCGTTTTTTGTTCACTTTTTGATTCTTATCTTTCGTTTCTCTTTATAGAAACTTTTTTTTAACGATTCATTTATTTGTGTGCACTGAGTCGATAAGCCAATAAGCTTAGGCGTATTTATTCGTGTTTAATTATTTTAATCATTTTAAGCCAAAGTATGCGATAATGCCACTAGGATGTAAGAGCTTACTGGAAGTGAAAGAGAACGAGAAGACATTAGTGAGGAAAAGAACAATAAAGAAATACAATTCAGGATGACAGAAGATGGCGATTGGCGTCGCATTTACATTTTTGAAGATTGTAGGTGACAGCGAAGCAAGAAATCGGAAAGAACTTCCACAGGCGAGAAAAGAAAGTATTAGAATAGAATTGATGGTTGCATCTAGGTATTTCAAATGTAAAACGGTGAGACCTAATAGCCAATCTAGTAAACGACGTTTCATGCAATGAACCACCAAATGAAGGAAATTTCAGAACAATTTAATACCATGAAAATAATAAAGAAAAGAAAAAGGAAACTACGTCACGTTGGTGTGAAAGTGAAATCAAGTCAGATGCCAGGTCAGGATCGATAACATTACATTATCTTTCTTTGAATTTTGTCAAGAATCTTGAGATATAAAGTAAAATCTCAGGCAGATTCAGCAAATTATTTAATTCAATAATGAATGGTAGATTTATAAATATTCAAATGGATTCTGAAAACTTTCTGTCTAGTACTTGAACCAACTGTTGATTATTAAGATATTTTCGACGTTGAAACGTCTTTCTTCTCATCGAATAACTTAAAATTTTAATTTTAGAAGCCAATTTTGGTGAAAACTCGTCAATTTCGAAACCCTCAATCCAAATCATTTGTCGGGCTTTTTCAATAAAAATTATAACAAACAAAATGATTTTTAAATATCAATTTCAAAAACTGTCGATTCAGGACGAAAATAAAAATCAAATGCCAATCAAATGTGATTTCCCAAATTTTTTTATTATATGAGAATTCAAATTTCGATCAACTTTGAAACACAACTGAAATTAGTTATGAAATCTGATTGAACAAAGTTTTCAATAGCAAATTGATTAACATTCTGTAAAAAAAATAATCTATTTTTTCGTCTTACAAGACAAACATTGAAAAATTACTAAAATTTTATTTAAAAAATAAAACGTCTTTTCTTTAACAAAAATTCATATTAAGTTTAAAACTTTCAAATAATTGAATTGACTGAAATTTACATTTATTTAAATGTTGAGTCATTAAACTAATATTAACTATTTAAAACTAATTCAATTTTTTTATAAATGTAAACTAACATACTTTAAACATACAAGTATTTCCAAACTATAAAAAATGATCAATAACCACAAGCAAAAATGGAACTGTTTAAAATGGACTGTTACCTAAACTGAAAAAAAACTGATAGGGACATGGATTTAAATGTTGAGTCATTACATATAATGTTAGCTATTTATCTAATTCATTTATTTATATGTGTAAATAAGTATTAGCTGTTATTTGTTTAAATTTTCAAGACTATAACCCTTCCTGGAGCCGAGCCATGAAAGCTTAAACATGCTCTGTTTACTAAAATCAAACATTATTTTAAGAATATTTGATCTTTAACCGAAATGGGTTTATAACACTCTTATCTCGTGAAAATATCAGTTACCACCAGGCTAAAAGTAGTGACGATTCTGCATATAATTCATTAATATCAACTTTTTTAATCCAGTATAGTGACGTATTCTATATTTTTGATATGAATAACATTTCTTTATATTTTTTAATTTTTATATATATATTTTTTTCTTTTTAAACATTTTTCATATTTTTAAAATTACCAGGAAATGAAAATAAACATTTGGGTAGTAAAATTTTGACTAACCACCAAACTTTTTAGTATTTGAATATACAAAAGGAAATCGGACATGTTTATTAATAAACAATAATATGAAAATAATTTTTAATAAATAAAATTGGTATAAATTTGAATGTTT